AGAAGCGGTGAATACGATCGTGTGATGGGGGCGGGGCTAGGACAGCAGTGATTGGCATGAAGGCGGTCTCCACGGCAACAAGGAAGTAGTTAACAGACACAGTGTCTTCTGTGGAGGCGTCTCTGACTCGGGTTTGGGTTGTGTTCTGACTGTGTGCTGCTGTCACCTGATTCTCCATGTCTGTCACGTGTACACACACACACACACACACACACACACACACACACACACTCTGCTCTTCTCCACTGTCTAACACTCTCTCTTCTCTTCTCTTCATCTGCATTTTCAGTAATAAAGTTTAACAGACGCTGGTGTCCTGCGCGAGTCTTCATTCCTCTCGATGGCGGGGGTGTGGTGGTGCGGGGGTCACCCAGCGCTCATCATGGCGTCACTGATCATGTCCGTGTGCTGATGTGTCTCAGGCTGCTTTCACACTGCACTTGTGGTCCGCACCCGGGTTTGTTTGACGTCAGAGTATGGTTCTGTAGCCAGTGTGATCGTGTGCACCTGTGAACCGTACCCGAGTCCGCCTGATAGCGGCTCAGTTCTGATGTGAATGCAGTCGCACCCAATAACGGAAGTGAACCGCCGACTTTATAACGTTCATTCATTAATGTGTGTGTGTGTGTGTAATATGTACTGTACATTGGTGACGAGCGGGGACTACTCCAGTGTAAGCAGTGATGGCATCCGCTTGTCTCCTTCTCAATCCGCTTCTGCAGACGTGTCGTGATGTTCTGGATGTTGATCATGTTCGTGCGGCAGACGGACGCGAGTCGTTCTCTGTTCAGTGTAAGCCGAGCGGCCGTGGTGTGCGGAGTCTTTCCTTTTTGGCGTTTTGCTTTCGTGTCCGTCACCTGGAAACAGCCGCACACACACACCAGCAGCCGGAGGAGGCAGCGCACCGGGTTCAGGAGGAGGAACACAAACCAGCTGAGCAGGTGACGAGGGGACAACTGAACCTGCGGACGGTCCAGGCAGCTGAGCGGGTGTTGCACCCTCAGCTCTGAGCTCCATCATCTGCACCTTTCAGAAGATCCTGACAGAGCTCCTGTGCTCATATCAGCTGCAGCTCATCCGCCGTGTAGAGCTCGTCTCTGCTCAGTGATATCAGCATTCACAGCTGTTGTGTAATGGATGTGTGAATGCTCGTTCCCGTAACCTCCTCGCCTGTGTGAGCAGCGCTGTTATGAATTCACCGGTGAAGTCGTTGCAGAAATCTTCCAGATATTTACAGATATCACTGTGTGAAAGAGGCTAAAGACTTCGTTTCCCTGGTGATGAAGGACACAGCCGGTGGACAGTTCTGGAGGGAAGCTGCGCTGTAGGTGTGAAAAGGAAGTTTATTTACCTGCAGATCTGCACACGTGTGACACAGAGAGTCTGACTGGAGAGATGTTAGACAGTGTACACGCTCATGAACAGCATCTGTTACGGTGACCTGGTGGCGAGATCCTCTCATTTCAAAACACTCGCTTCAGCCTGTGTGCACTTCGAAGGAAATAACCTGTGAAGTCTGCATGCTTCGGAGGATACAGCCTATGAAATGAGACACGGCCATAGAGAGAGAGCGCTGCTGTAGTGTAGTGTAGTGTAGTGTAGTTGTGTGTGTTTATATTGCGCATTTATTGTGTATGGCCATACACCCAAAGCGCTTCACAATCATGAGGGCGCTGCAGTAATGTGTGTGTCCAGCAGATGGCGCCATGCGAGCAGGGGGAATGTGTGTGTGTGTGTGTGTGAGAAGCGTGTTTTCCTTGATTTCAGACACACTCCTATGCTGATAACTGTACACACACACACACACAAACACACACACACACACACAGATCTCCAGTGCTGACGCGGAATATTACTCATCATTACCACTGGGCCCCGCCCACTACTGTAATGATTAATGTGACAAACAGCTGACGTCATCAGTCCGAGCTGAACGCGTCTCTGCAGGTCTGACACGCACACACACACGCACACACACACACACACAACGCTTTTGTCTCGTGTTTCTGTGTAGAACTAATTTGGTTTGTAAAACTAGAGTACAATAGTTTACGTACACTGTGTGTGTGTGTGTGTGTGTGTGTGTGTGTGTGTTCATCAGGGATACTGATGTGTGTTTTGAGGAACCCATGATTGTGCAGCTCAGATTCACAGATACGGAGAGCCGGCTCGACATGTTCAGACACATATATATACACACACACACACACACACACACACACACACAAGGCAGGTGTCAGACACACCTGGGAACTGAGGCAGGTGTGTGTGTGTGTGTGTCAGAATAACTGTAGAAATGCGGCAGGAGACGCAGAGCGGATTATGAAGAGCAAATCATCATCATCATCATCATCATGTTCTTCATATGTAGATGAGCCTCAACACACACACACACACACACACACCAGTTTGTCCTCAGTGAGCTCCTGATCTGCTGTATCAGCATGCGGGTTCTGCAGTGTGTGTGTGTGTGTGTGTGTGAGACCTGTTTACAGCACCCATGAGGACAAAGTGTCTCCACTGGATCTCCATGTCTCAGAACAGTGCTGTCGCTGAGTCTCGCCTCCGCAGAGAGAGAGAGAGTGTGTGTGTGTGTGTGTGCTCTAAACTCGCACACAGACAGTATAGTGTTTGTTCTTCAATGTTTGTGGTGGGCTGTTCATGAATAGTCTCTCTCACACACACACACACACACACACACACTGCTGACTCAGTCTGGGCCTCATTTGTTTTTGAGGTCATGTGACTAAACATGATGACATCATCACAGGAGAGCCAGCACTACAGCTCCATCTAGAGCAGTGTTCCTCAACCACGCTCCTGGAGGAGCACCAGCACTGCATGATCAGACGCTCCTCTGCCTGCCACACACACACTGCAGCTCTCCGTCTGCTGATGGTCTTGATCAGGTGTGTGTGTG